TTTCTAATTATTTGTTTTCTTAATATGTATTGCATGTTAGTCAAAAAGGGAAGGAGGACTTTCGATGATTAAAAAGGGAGGACTTCAGTAGCCACGTTTTTTTTTGAAAGAGAAAGGAGTATGCCATAGTCAAATGGCAGGAAGAAAAAAATGGTGGCGGTGCTTCTTTTGTTGAAAAAGAAGAAAGCTTTGTTGAAAAAGCTTACCAAGCCAATCAAAGACAGAGGTGATGTTCTCTATATAAAGCACCCCAAATGCTCAGATACATATCATCCCTTCAGGTGCTAATATATAATCAAGCAGTGAGAAAAATAGAGAGGCTAAGAGGGTGAGAGAACTCTGTGAAAAAAAAAATCCAAGAGAGAAAATTGAGAGCAATTTTTCAGAGTGATTGTAATATTTCTTCCATTAGTGAAAGATCTGCAGCAGCCCGTGGACGTAGGCAATTTTGTGCCGAACCACGTAAATCGTGCGTGTCCCCTAATTTTGAGCATTTTATTTTTCGCTTCTCTCTCAAATCTGGCACTAGGGGAATCCGAGTAATTTCCCAACAACTGGTATCAGAGCTCTGGTTGTGATGTCTGTCAAATTTCTGCAAGATTACTATTCATGTGAATAGTAAATTTCGTGAATAGTGGAATTTTGCCGACGGTACTGACTTGTCGGCAGAGGTGTCTTAATACACGGTGGTTCGTAGAAATTATCAGAAACGATCCAGAGGAAGTCAGATTCGAGTGGGAGCGATGGCTGCAGATGAAGGGAAGGTGAAAATTGAGAAGTTCGATGGTGCGGACTTCGGCTTTTGGAAGATGCAGATCGAAGACTATCTGTACCAGAAGAAGCTGTATCAACCTCTCTCGGGAAAGAAGCCAGATGATATGAAGGATGAAGAGTGGGCTCTCCTCGACAGACAAGCCCTTGGAGTTATCCGATTGACGCTATCCCGAAACGTTGCCTTCAACATAGCAAAGGAAAAGACCACGGCGGGTCTTATGGCGGCTCTCTGCAGCATGTACGAGAAGCCCTCTGCCTCAAACAAAGTTCACTTGATGAGGCGGCTGTTCAATTTGCGAATGACGGAAGGCGCATCGACAGCTCAACATCTCAATGAACTCAACATAGTCACAACCCAGTTGAGTTCAGTTGGGATTGAATTTGATGAAGAAGTACGAGCATTGATACTTCTTTCTTCTCTACCAGAAAGCTGGAACGCTACAGTCACGGCTGTGAGTAGCTCATCGGGAAGCAACAAGTTGAAGTTCGATGATGTTCGTGATCTGGTTCTTAGTGAAGAGATCCGACGGAGAGAATCGGGTGAAGCTTCAACCTCCTCAGCTTTACACACGGAGTCTAGGGGAAGAACTTCAGAAAGAAGTTCAAATCACGGCAGATCAAAATCTAGAAGGAGCAAATCTAGATCAGGAAAGAAAGACTTCAAGTGCTACAATTGTGGCAAGAAGGGTCATTTCAAGAGGGAGTGTCGGGCACCGAAGAAAAACACCGGCGCACAGGAGTCTGCCAACGTGACCGAGGAAGGAGGTGATGCTATGATTCTAAGCGTCAACAGTCCGATTGAATCATGAATTCTTGATTCAGGGGCATCTTTTCATTCCACCCCATGCCGAGAAATCATGGAGAACTACGTCAGCGGTGATTTCGGAAAGGTACATCTAGCAGATGATGAAACCTTGAAGATTGTTGGCAAGGGAGACATTCGATTAAAATTACCAAACCACACCACATGGAAGCTGCAAGGAGTAAGACATATTCCTGGTCTTAGAAGAAATTTGATCTCTGTGGGACAGCTTGATGGAGAGGGTTATTATACAACCTTCTCGGGTCATGAATGGAAGATTACCAAAGGAGCACTCGTCATTGCTCGAGGTAAGAAAAGTGGTACTCTCTATATAACCTCTAACTTAGAGAATATCATTGCAGTAACAGATGCAGATGAAAAATCAAACCTATGGCACCAAAGGCTTGGCCATATGAGCGAGAAAGGGATGAAGAAACTTCTGTCAAAAAGGATTGTATCTTTGGCAAACAGAAGAAAGTCAGTTTTGCAAAGATTGGCAAGACACCCAAGACAGAAAGGTTAGAATTAATTCACACCGACGTATGGGGACCATCTCCAATTTCATCTCTTGCAGGCTCACTGTACTATGTCACCTTCATTGATGATTCTACAAGGAAGGTGTGGGTTTATTTTCTGAAGAAGAAATCAGAAGTCTTTGATACCTTCAGAAAATGGAAGGCCATGGTGGAAAATGAAACTGGTTTGAAGATAAAGAAGTTGAGGTCAGACAATGGAGGAGAGTACAAAGACAGTAGATTCAAAGAGTTTTGTGCAAACAACGGGATCAAGATGGAGAAAACAGTTCCCATGACACCGCAGCAGAATGGCGTAGCAGAGCGCATGAACACAACTTTGAATGAACGTGCCAGAAGCATGAGGATACATACCGGACTGCCCAAGTTTCTATGGGCTGAAGCTATCAATACCGCAGCCTACCTAATCAACCGCGGACCCTCAGTTCCCTTGGATGGTGGAATACCGGAAGAAGCTTGGAGCAAAAAAGAGGTAAACCTTTCACATTTAAGAATTTTTGGTTGTATCTCTTATGTACACATAGATTCTGCTGAAAGAAGTAAACTTGATGCCAAATCTAACAAATGTGTTTTTGTTGGTTATGGTGGTGATGAGTTTGGTTACCGATTTTGGGATTATGAAAATCGGAAGATCATCAGAAGCAGAGATGTCATATTCAATGAGAATGTGATGTACAAAGACAGATCAACTGCAGAATCAAGTAGCTCCAGTACAAAAGCTGAAACAAAGGAATTTGCTGAATTTGAGGAGATTTCTGAAAATGATGTTCAAACAAGTCCTGAAGCAGTTCAAGAAGAACCAAGCACGCCAGAAGTGAGACGCTCCTCCAGAATTCCTAAGCCAACCCAGCGTTATTCGCCTTCTTTGCACTACTTGTTGCTGACTGACAGTGGTGAACCGGAGTGTTATGACGAAGCAATACAGGTGAAGGATTCAGTCAAGTGGGAGTCTGCTATGCAAGATGAGATGGACTCACTCATGTCAAATCAGACATGGGACTTAGCTGAATTACCACAAGGTAAGAAAGCTCTTCATAACAAATGGATTTACAGGATCAAAGAAGAGCATGATGGGAACAAGCGCTACAAGGCAAGATTGGTTGTCAAAGGCTTTCAGCAAAAGGAAGGTATCGACTACAATGAAATTTTTTCTCCGGTTGTGAAACTAACTACAATCAGATTAGTGTTGAAAATTGTAGCTGCTGAGAATTTACATCTTGAGCAGTTAGATGTAAAAACAGCTTTCCTTCATGGTGATTTGGAGGAGGAGATCTATATGAAGCAACCAGAAGGCTTCATGAAGGCAGGCAAGGAAAATCTAGTATGCCGTTTGAAGAAGAGCTTGTATGGATTGAAACAAGCTCCCAGACAGTGGTACAAGAAGTTTGACAACTTCATGGGCAGCAACGGTTTCACTAGATGCCAAGCAGATCATTGTTGCTATATCAAGAGCTTTGACAATAGCTTTATTATTTTATTGTTATACGTTGATGACATGCTCGTTGCAGGATCAGATCTGCAAGAGATTATAAATTTGAAGCAAAAATTGTCAAAGCAGTTCGCGATGAAAGATCTTGGTGCTGCAAAGCAGATTCTTGGAATGAGGATCAAGAGAGACACGAAGTCTAGGACTTTGATGTTATCACAGGCTGAGTACATCAACAAAGTACTCTCCAGGTTTAATATGCAAGATGCTAAACCAGTGGGTACACCTTTAGGTGTTCATTTCAGACTTTCCAAAGATCAGTCACCAAAGACAGAGGAAGAGCATGCACAGCGTGCACACATGGCGAAGGTCCCGTACGCCTCAGCAATTGGAAGTCTGATGTATGCCATGGTCTGTACAAGACCGGATATTGCTCAAGCAGTGGGAGCTGTTAGCAGGTACATGAATGATCCGGGCAAGGTACACTGGGAAGCAGTCAAATGGATCCTCAGATATCTACGAGGCACCACAGGTAAAGCACTTTGTTTCAAAGGTGGAGATACAATACTAACAGGCTATGTAGATGCTGATCTAGCAGGAAATGTTGATATCAGAAAGAGCACTACAGGGTATGTATATACTCTAGGAGGTACTGCAGTGAGTTGGGCTTCTCAACTGCAGAAGATAGTTGCTCTCTCCACAACTGAAGCAGAATATGTCGCTGTTACAGAAGCCAGCAAGGAAATGGTGTGGCTTTAAAATTTCTTGGATGAATTAGGCAAGAAACAAGAAGACAATGTCTTATACTGCGACAGTCAAAGTGCTATTCATCTAGCGACATACAGATGCGGTATCATTTTATCCGGTCACTTCTGGAAGATGGAATTTTGAAGCTTGAAAAGATCAGTGGAGCTCAAAATCCGGCAGACATGCTGACAAAGACGGTGACTATTGATAAACTGAAGCTGTGTTCAGCTTCAGTTGGCTTGCAATAGTATGAAGACCGGAAAAAACTGCTGCATAGATCTAGGTGTGAAGACAGATTGAAATCAGTCTTCAAGTAGGAGATTGTTAGTCAAAAAGGGAAGGAGGACTTTCGATGATTAAAAAGGGAGGACTTCAGTAGCCACGTTTTTTTTTGAAAGAGAAAGGAGTATGCCATAGTCAAATGGCAGGAAGAAAAAAATGGTGGCGGTGCTTCTTTTGTTGAAAAAGAAGAAAGCTTTGTTGAAAAAGCTTACCAAGCCAATCAAAGACAGAGGTGATGTTCTCTATATAAAGCACCCCAAATGCTCAGATACATATCATCCCTTCAGCTGCTAATATATAATCAAGCAGTGAGAAAAATAGAGAGGCTAAGAGGGTGAGAGAACTCTGTGAAAAAAAAAAATCCAAGAGAGAAAATTGAGAGCAATTTTTCAGAGTGATTGTAATATTTCTTCCATTAGTAAAAAAAAAATCCAAGAGAGAAAATTGAGAGCAATTTTTCAGAGTGATTGTAATATTTCTTCCATTAGTGAAAGATCTGCAGCAGCCCGTGGACGTAGGCAATTTTGTGCCGAACCACGTAAATCTTGCGTGTCCCCTAATTTTGAGCATTTTATTTTTCGCTTCTCTCTCAAATCTGGCACTAGGGGAATCCGAGTAATTTCCCAACATTGCAGTCATTGATGCTTGTTACATCCTTGAACCCTGTAAGTTCTTTAGTCATTATCTATTTCCCTGTACAGTATTTATATTCGATCATGTTATTTGCAACCATCAATTGCTAAAACAGAAAATTGGGTACGATAAGGCTGCAGCTGTCGCAAAGAATGCACATAAAGAAGGGACAACCCTGAAGGTAAGCTGGTAAGGATGATTCACAATTTTCATAATGTTTCTTGGACATCTGATATATTCTTGTATAATTACTATTTTGCCTTCAGCATTGCATTCTTACTTGAAAATACCTGTATACTTCCCAAAAAGACTTGTTGGAAAAAAGGCAACCTGTCCCTACTGTTTATGTAGCTATAAGGGAAAGCGTTAGATAAAGGTTAAAGATGGTAAATTGTCCAGTGTGAATTCTCCCAAAATGTGTAACGAAAAGGCAGGGTATGATCAACTTTAACGCAAGGCATAAATATATAACTGATCATCATATATTACTATATAATATATATATATATATATATAACTTATTATATATATATATACTATATAATATATTATAATATATATGATATATAATATTATATAATTCTTTTTTTGGCCATTGGTATATTGATGGTAATTAGAAAACATGATCCGAAGTAAGTACTTTGCTGATGAAAGAAAGTATTAGTTAAGTGGAACTAGGGTAGCAGAATAAGTTTATAATTATGAATGTGGAGAAGCTCGTGGAATCTGAAGGATCCAGTATGAGTAGTAATATAAATAATCAGAAAGGATTAATAAATTTTCAGTGAATCTCTGATGCCCCCCCCAAAAAAAAAAAAACATTGTCACTAAAAGTCATTGTCTGTTCTTTGTTTCCTCATAGTAATCCGAAACTCATTAATAGAACCAGCAAAAAGAAGAATCATTTCATTTATTTAGCAGCTCTTTTAAGATGTGAGTGAATTGTACTATTTCATAAAGAACATCTCATCGAGTAAAGCTGTTATAAACTTAAGCAAAGTGTGGACTCTGTTCATTAACTTTATTTACTTTGAGATGCGTGCTGATGCGTTGTGGGTATTGAGAAAACAGAAAAGATAATCTTGATGCGTATCCTACATCAACACGCATCTCAAAGCAAATCCAAGGGATATATAAGTCAGTGGACAAAGCCCTTTTTCCCTTGAGCAAATCCAAGAGATATAGAATTAGTGGACAAAGCCCTCGGTCCCCTTAAGTTTACAAAAGCTTTCATAACATGCACATAAAGAGAGGGAATAAGGAGTATTGTATGACATTCGAGGGATTCTCTCATTTGCAGTGATATGGCTGAATCTTAGCCCGAGTGTTGTGGGTAATAAAGAAAGAAACCTCCTGTTTCTATTTGGTTGAGATTCAACCACATTACTATATGTATGAGAGACTCCCCTCATATGCTATATTATACCTATTATTCTCATGTGTATGCATGCTTCAGATCCAGATGAACATGAAATTAAATCCCTATGATTTGAATTATGCCTTGAGTTTCTTTTAAATCTAACATCTACGGACTTTAGTATGAGATCTTGAAAACCTGACTATTTGGCAGTTACTATTGGAAAACCAAGAAAAGTAATGGATTACACAAACATATGTTTGTCCCTATACCTATAGTCAGAAAAATGGTTGTCCCTAAAACAGAAACAAAACAAAACAGAATAAGTGCTCTGAAACTCATTGTCTCTACAGGATCTTTTCTTGTACACCCAAATTGTTAAACCTAGGGTGATTTTCACTTAACTCCCTGAAACCGTGACGCTTTGCACATAACCCTCTTGAACTTTGTTTATCCTATTTATCCCCCAGATTGTATTACTTAACACCCCAAAATAACACTATGAACTTTGATGAGCCATGTGACATGATAGCAAAGTACGAGTACCTCTCAGTTTATTAAAATTTACCTCTATCTTTTTTTGGTGGGATATATTTCAAAAAAGTCATTTTGGTCATTTCACTATTAACAGTAACTACATCAGGGGTGTATGTTGTAAAACCTTCAAACTTTATTTAATTTTTTATTATTTTTTTGTGGGTGGCCTAGGTAGGGGCTGGGGTTAAGTGAGACAGTCCAAAGTTCAGGGAGTTTAATTGAATAAATAAAGTTTTGCAGGGGTTACGTGCAAAACTCCCCAAAGTTCATGGGGTCTAAGTGTCCTTTAAGCTATGCATCAAGCAGGGATATCATGCATGTCAAAGGAAATTAATTCCTCTGGAAGGGAAGCTGACATGCATTCCCAATTGCTTGGCTTTTAATACTTATTTGTAATGGAAAAATGGTGTTTAATGAGATGACTGCTACAAGTGGATTTCCATCCAACATCGTGCATATACTTTATTTTGTAAAGTCTAAATCTGAGGGATTCAGCATAATATGTGTGTATATTGTAAAACGTAAATTGTCAAATGTTGTCTTTCAGAGCCTTACCATACACTTGCTAGATAGAAGTAAAGATGATGGTAACACCTCATTCTTTGTTATATTGTTCATGTTTGATAGTCTTGCATTTTTATATCTATATAATATATAAAGCACGGGGGGTTCCACTTTTTTTCACTGCTGAAGTTATGTTATATAAAGGTTATACTAGCTGTTATTGGATCTACATTATTTCTGTGGCCCTGGCTGCTTCTTTTTGGTAACTATTTGATTTTCTGAAATCCTTGTGTTCTGTGGATTACACAGTTACACTAATAAGTTAATTAATTAATTTAATTATTACATCACCATGATTCAATAGTTGCATACTTGCATTTTTTTCGCCAGGGTATAACATAAGTGTTAGATCTGCTCCATGTGCTGACGCTACAATCTAAATGCCAGCAGTTAGGATCAAAGATCACTCCTGATAGCTAATAGATTTCTCAAATTGTCTAAAACCAATATTTTGTTCGCTAAATGATTCATAAATATTTTAGAAAATTTGTCAAAGCAACAGCTGACTATAGGTTTTAATTGGTAACTTTACTTCAAACATTTATTTATTTATATCAGTAAGTATTATTTGCAGAAACTTATAAAAAGTGACATGAGTAGCATGTTTGACTCATGGAATTGGTACTTTCTATATTTGCATGGTCAGTCCAAATCTAAATTTTGAAACAAGGGCATTATTGACAAAATGCATTTAGCTAAGCAGTTTATTGGTCTGAGGATATCCTTCAATGGCTTAGGCTCTTAAGTCTTTGATTTGTGTTGGGAGGGTATTTTGCTACACTGTGGATTGAAGGAAAGCCCTCTACCATATTTTGCTGACTAGATGTCAAGACATGTATTTCTTGTAGGACCATGTTTACAATATGATTGAAGGAAAGCCCTCTACCATGTGGATTTATTGTAGGGCCATGTTTACAATATGATTTTTTGGGGGCAAATATCAGAACATGCAATCAAGGAAACATGTTGGCCGACATGTCCGACATGTCGGTTTGAGGGCTTGAGCAGCATGACATGGGCGTTTTCAACTCGTATGTTGGTTTTCAGGGCTAAATCAAAAATATCAGGGTCATATCAGGCATATCGGGCGATTTTTCAGCTTTGAAAAATCGGTCGATATGTCCTTTTTTTAGATATGTTTTTTGTTATCGGGTTTAGGTTTAGTGATAAAAACCCAACCTCATTTGACCCGTTCTCATGTTTAAGGGTTTCTTATGAACCCGATAGAAAGAAAAGAGAAAAATTAGGGCTACAACGGGCTTGGGAACCCATCGCTCCTTTCGTGAATGACGACACCCTTCCCCCACCTCGATCTCAGCTCCTCGTCGTCCATCTCCCGTTGCGCCCTAAAATCCGAACCCCAACCGAACCCGAGGACGGTAGGGTATCCCACCATCGGGATAAAGGGAAGAGGGTGGTCGGTGACTCATCCGAATGATCCCAAGCAGATGAAGAAGAAGAAGAAGAGCCCCGACACTGTCTCCCTGCGACGTCGGAATCCCGCCGCTAGAATTATAAAGTATGCTTATATTGAATTTAGGAATGCTTGGATTACATTTAGGATATGATATTATACTTATGTGCACTACCCGATATGGTAATCCAATATTTAGTCTATGTCCCTCGATATATCTCTGATTTTCGCTAATCGATATGGATTTCAGCCGTCCGACATGAACCCGACATTCAACATTTAAAACCTTGCATGCACCCCCCCCACCCACACACACACACACACCCACAAAAAAAACACACAAACAAACAAAAACACACCCACACGCACATGCACTGGATGATTAGCAGAAAGCCCCCTTAACTTTTAAAATATCAGAAAAAACCCTGTTAAGTATAGGGATTATCACGAAACCCCGTTTAACTTTCAGATTTTGTAATTAGGGGGGTTTCTGATAAAATATCAAAGTTAAAGGAGTTTTTCTAATAACCTCTAAACTTAAGGGGGGTTATCTGTTATTTTGAAAGTTAAGGGGGGTTTTCTGATAGTTGTCTATAGTTAAGGGTTTTTTAATGATATTTAGCCTTTTTTAACTTTCACTTGCAATACTTATGGTATTAATATCACATTTTACGTCAAATTTTTGTTGTTTTATGTAGGAAAAATAACCAGATTGTTTTTTTTAATGTACAAAACATAACCATTTTGGTATTAATTTTGATATTCGTGCCATAATATCGCCCGTGAAAGAAAAAATTCATATTGTAATCAGTATCATATTAAAAATGCCAATTTGGTAATTTTGCCTTTATAATGTGTGATATGGAGCTTCTGCCCTTCACTAACGTCAGTAGCGTGCCATGAGAGTAGTTTTCGTTGTGAAAATTTCCTTATATATGATATTGAATTGTGCCAAGGCCCAAGACTTAGAAAAGGTTGCGTTCTTGATTACCTGCGATATTAAGCTTATACATTTTTGTGTTGACGTTTAGAAAAAAAAATTATTTCTGCAGGAGGCTGCATTGAAGCTTGGAGTCCTTACCGCGGAAGAACTAGAGGAGCTTGTGGTACCACAGAAAATGATTGGTCCATCTGACTAATAACTCAATTGGGAAATATATGGAAATTATTGTTGAAAATAATAAATAAATGATGGCTAGTTTGCACTTTTAAACTCATAGCTGAATTCAAGGTCCCGGCTGAGCAAGAGGCGTGCTAATAATAAAGCCTCCATTTTGTTTTGGTTTGTAATTATCTTATAATCATTTCTCTAAACTATTTTTTGGCCCTGTAAAGGCTACTGTATTTTGACGCTGTTCTATGAGAGGCAAGTTGGCGTTCCAACGGCGAGTCTATTTTGACTGGGAAATTTTATTATTCCATGGAGGGTGTCATGCTCGAATTTTTCTCTCATGTTTTCTTGCTTATGCTTTTCTAGTTTCTCAGAGAAATCTCTCTTTCCTAACGAACTGTTATCTGCGCCTCGATATGCTCTTTTGCTCTGTAGACTGTTTCGTTATCTCGAATGTTTGGAGGAGTTAGGATCCTGTTATTTCTTTTTGCACCGGTCAAAATGACACTGGCATCGAGAACTACTGTTGACGTGTGTGGAGCTGTGAATTTTTTATGTTAAGGAACTGTTATGGGAAAATATTCAAATATCAAAATAAATTGTATTTGGCGATTAAACTATAGAAAGAAGGAAAATTTTCCCTTCTTCCTAACTTCTCTACTAAATTCTATAGAACTTTTTAGTTTTTCGAAATCTAGCCATTGGTTTAATTTCTACTAAGTAACCCAAACAAAACTAATAACTGCTGTTTTTTCTGGTTTGGCCCTTGCCTTCAACCAAATAAAGAAAAATAAAAATTCATGTCACTACAAAAACCAATAAAAGCTCAAATCTAATCTAATATAAGTAAAAGGCAAGAAGCAAGGATATTTGAATAGAACAAATTTTTGAAATAAACCTATTTTATTTTTTATTTAAAAAATCGACCCAGTGCCTTTTTATTTATCAAAAACGACCCATTTCGGGCCACGTCAGTAGTGTGGCCGTGAAATGGGTCGGTTTTTTTTTAATTGGCGTCGCTAAATAGTCGGGGTTGGCAACCCCGACTATTTAGTTATGTCGGGGTTGCTAACCCCGACTATTTAGCACAGGTACAAGCTAAAATAGTCGGGTTTTCTAACCCCGACTAATTTAGGGCCCTATCTAATTGGGTCGAATTTTTTATTTAAAACATTGATCGGGGTTGGAAACCCCGACCATTTCAAAAGCCCATTACGAAATGGTCGGGGTTCCCAAACCCGACCATATGGCAGAGAGTCTGGCCCAGTCGCAGCTGATGAAAATGGCTAAAGACAATAGTCGAGGTTCTGAACCCCGACTATTTGTCAACTGGGCCCGCCGCCTATATAAAGGTCACCGCTTCATCTCTCTCATTCCCACTCGTTTCCAGCCGCTGCTCTCTCTCATTTCCGTCGTTCTCCTCCTCCCATACTTCGTTTGAGCCACCAATTGGGGATTTCAACACAATTTTTCATCGGAATTTCATCTTAGAAGACCTACCAGATAATTTCTCTAGATTTTCTCCTATTTTAACATGTAGAAAATATAGGGTTTTTTTCTCAATAACGAATTTCTAATTTCTCTAGATTTTCTCCTATTTTAACATGTAGAAAATATAGGGTTTTTTTCTCAATAACGAATTTCTAGGGTTTGAACTCTATTTGTAGTGGTAACATGTAGAAAATATAGGGTTTTTTTCTCAATAACGAATTTCTAGGGTTTGAACTCTATTTGTAGTGCTTTAATTAGACTATTTATTCTTATTGTAGTTAAAATTAAACCTTTGGGGCATAAAATACTCAATTTTAGGGTTTAGGATTTGGGGGTCAATTTTAGGGTTTTGGATTTGGGGGTTTACGGTTATAATTGGGGTTTAGAGTTGTAATTGGGGTTTAGAGTTGTAATTGATAATATTTTTTAAATTTATTGTATTTAAATGATATAATTTTGTTTTGTATAGGTTGAACAATATGATTTTTATTGCTTGCTCTTATGGTGGAACGATTAATTATGGAATGAGTAATATGCCAATGTACGTCGGAGGGGTGACAATACTGTTAATGATATCAGAATCATATAGTTACATTGATTTGGTTAATGAATTGCATCGAGTTACGACAATTGACCCACGAGAGTATCGACTAAAAATAATATGCAATTTAATGAATTGCATCGAGTTACGACAATTGACCCACGAGAGTATCGACTAAAAATAATATGCAATTGGCCGATAACTTATGATAGAACGTCCGCAGTTGAGATCTCAAACGATCATTTGATGAGTACTTCGTTTAATTTTTGAGCAAGTCACAACCAACGGTAGAATTGTTTATTGAAACGATGCCACATAGTACAAGCCAAATATTCAACCCTCCAGGAGAATTCTCACGCATGTTAGATTTGGGAGTTGAGTCTGAAGGCTTTCTTTCTTTTTCGAGTGAAATGCAACGGACTCAATTTCAATATCACAGTGGTGCACCTTCATATGAAGAGGATGAAAGAAGTGACGCCTCTGATAGTGAAGATGAAGATAATGCACCAATCGACAGCATGCAATTTGTGGGTGAAGATGATGAAGAGAATCCGGATTGGCCAGATGTATGTAGAGAAGAGCCGGATGTATGGCATGCTCGCGTCCCGATCATATGTTTTGAGATTGTCGAGATGCACGTGCCCGACGGTGTGCTCCGACAATTTGGGCTACAACAAGATATCCCAAACTATGTGGAGATAATAGAGAGAAATCCCAGAAAAGGTGCACATCGTCAAGATTGGGAACATATTCACGGTGCTTACATCGGGAGGTGGGATTACAGGGAAGAACAGTTGGTGATGGAGAGGGCCAACGCACCTGACCTAGGTGTGTATTTGTGATGGTATTGGGGGATTACTCGCCGGTGGATATTTCAGGAGAACAAAACCTCTAAGGAGTACATACCAAGAGGCCCTGTTGAGAGAGAGTTGATAAGTGTATAAGCAAAATATACAGTTATCTTGTGAGTTTTATTTTATTATCATCCAAATCATAATAGCTTTCTCGGGGTTTTTATCTTATAGGTACAATAGCTCAAAGAACTTTCTACTATGGCACATGATGCAATCCGAACGACTACGGATCCAGGACCGAGGAACACGTTCATTCGCATGATCAAAAAGATTCGATCCACTCTGTAAAGGATGCGTAATGCAAGATGTGATGGACGTGAGGAGTGACCAATTGAGTACGGTCGTCGACGGTTCGGAGGACACACGGGGGCAGGCTCAAGCGGTGCACATGATGAAGCTGGCGGCTCACAGCAGGCCCAAGCCGGATGTTCACAGTCGGTTCGAGTCGATGAGGATGCCATGCACTCCCAACTTCACACACAACCGGACGAGGAACTCATCCAAGCTCACGTCGAAGGTGAACGTGTCAGGGAGAGGGGGAGGGGGAGGGAGAGGAAAGGGAGTTGTATTCGATTGAAACATAATATTATGTATCTGATTGAGTATTGATAGGATGTTTGCGTTTGAAACTAAATATTATGTATTCGATTGAGTATGGATTTTCAGTTGAGATGTTTGATAGGATGTTTGCGTTTTGAAACTAAATATTATGTGAATTGCATGGTATGTATCCGATTGATTATGGATTTTCAGTTGAGATTATTGATTGGTATGTGTATTATTGTGATTGTGATTTCATTGTGGATTGATATGTAATAGCAGGAGTTTGAATTTCCAGCTGAAAGTGAGCTAAAAGTGAGTCTGCCAAATGGTCGGGGTTGGGAACCCCGACTATTTTGTGCACGCACACAAAACGATCGGGGTTCCCAAACCCAACCATTTTGTCGCAGGGTAATTCTCCTCTGCTAAATGGTCGGGAGTTCCAACCCCGACCGTTTTTAGCTCCATTCGGTGACTGGACCAGAGATCTCTGCCAAATGGTCGGGTTTGGGAACCCCGACGAATTAGACAGGGCACTAAACTAGTCGGGTTTGGCAACCCCGACTAATTTAGCTTGTGCATAACTAAATAGTCGGGGTTGCCAACCCCGACTATTTAGCGGCGCCAATTAAAAAAAATGACCCATTTCGCGGCCACGCTGCTGACATGGCCCGAAATAGGTCGGTTTTGATAAATAAAAAGGAACTGGGTCGATTTTTTTAATAAAAAAATAGAATAGGTTTATTTTGAAAATTTGTTCTATTTGAATATAGGTTGGGAATATAATAATTTTTAGCAATCTAGGGTTTGATATTGTAGGCATCGAAAATTGCCTATAGGTCTCTACGAACAGCTCAGTGTTAAGGAATGACGATGAACGTCACTATCTGGTTCACAGGAGTTCGATTGACGTCGGTGAACGCTTGAAGTGAATCGATGAACTACGTGAGCCGACAGAATTTTGGAATAACGAAGGTACGGGCTAATCGAGAGCCCCGCGGTGTTTACAAAAGGAACAACGCCCTTCGTGTCTCATTCATTCAACAGATAATCCAACCATTGGAGCTGATAGAACTCCTTGTCGGCTTTCCAACGCATTTGGAATCACTCAGATCCGGGTTCAGACAAAGATATTACAGTGAAAACAGTCAAACGGGCATTGAAAACGTCTCAGAGCTGAACCGAGGCATCTACGGTGTCTCGGCCAAGTCAAGACACCCCAAGGGTGTCTCGGCTAAGCCAAGACACCCCAAGGGTGTCTCGGTTTAGCCGAGACACCCCAAGGGTGTCTCGGCCAGGCCAAGACACCCCTAGGGTGTCTCAGCGCGGATTTGACCCCTTTGAGTGGTTTTAACCGCTCCGCAACCCCTCATGCCTATAAATACAAGCCTTAGGCCTCATTTTTTCAGATCTGGAGTTTTGGAGAATTGGCGAAGCCCTGCCGGAGTGAAGAGTGATCGAGCACTTCAACACAAGAGAGTTTCTTCGTCAGATCTACATCACCCGTACCCGATCCTTAGTATTATCCCGTTGTGGTAATACTAAGAAGAGCAAATATCTCACTTTTATCGAGATAGGCGCTTCAAGTTTCTAGATCTCTTCGCGGATCGACGAAGCTCTGGATCAGATCTGATTGCCAGGTAGTCCACGGATATCGACATCCCCGTCACAGGCTAAAGACACACGCAAGCAAGAGACGACGAACGGATCTTGTGTTTACTTTTCAAGAAAGTTGTAATTTTTATTTCTTTGTTGTTTGAATTCATTTGTAACGTTTGAAGTTTTAATGAAATCAATGATGAAGGCAACTTTCGACGAAAACAAACTGACGACCACAGTGGGAGCCAACGGCCTCGCTGCCGAGGCCGTCGTGACGCAACCGGCCTTCAAGATCCGGG